TTTTTTTTTCTTTTGTGGGAAACCACGTACCACACGGTCACCATCATTGTCCCCATCAGATCGGGTCACTCACTCAGTATCTCTCATTTTTGTTTAAAATACTTTAAAATACTCTGTCAGGAAAACCCAGCTGCCAGGTACCCTGAGCCCTGAGTCCTGACCTCACACTGTGGCCCCAGCGCCCCCTGCCGGTCCTGGGTGTCTCAGCTCCCTCTCCTGTCCCTGCAGGGTCAGTGTCTGGGCCACACTTTCTCCCCCAGTGTTCCCCACAGTCACACAGGCCTGTGACCTTGGGTTCAGGAGCCCAGTGCAGGGAGAGCTGGTGGGGCCGGCAGCAGAGATGGAGACGGGCCTGGCGGGGGGCTGCCGTCTTTGCTCCAGGGTGACCTGGACTGGCCACAATGGACCCCGCTCCCCTTTCCAGGACACTGGCAGACCCAACATAACTGGAGGGGACAGACCCTGAGACAGAGCAAGTGGGGGCCGGAAGAGGGCATCACCAGCCCGGGCCAGAGTGCTGGGGCTGCCCAGGACATGACATCGGGGATTAGGAGGAACCAATCAGTCTTCTGTTGCCCCTGACACACACCCGGCCTGGCCTGAGCCCCTTCCTCCGTGGGAACCCCCAGGAGACACATGGCCAGCCCCAGAAGCTCATCCTTCTGGACACGGCTCAGTGTCACCAGGACCTGACCCTGTGTAGCTGAGAGCTGTGACTGCGTCCCAGCGCTGACCAGAGCTGAGGGGGTAGTGTAGAGAGACCCTGTGTGGGGGGAGGCTGACACCAGGCAGGAGGCCTCTGCCCCACCCTGCACCTGCTCCTGGCTGTGCTCTGTGCTCTGAGCCTCCTGTGCCTCCCCGTCATGAGAACTGGGTTCTGACCACGCCCCAGTGGAGCGCCCAGAGGGGACAGACCCTGGACACAGCACAGGTGGGGGGCAGAGTTTGGTGTTGTCACCAGCCTAAGCCCCAGATTTGCATCCAGGGGGACACCTGAACTGAGGAGCACAGTGGGGCCATCCCTGTACGTCGGGGCTGATCAGGTCCGTCGTCCTCTGGGCTCTGGGCCTCACCCCTGACTCATGCGACAGGCCCTGTCTGCGGACAGAGATGTGGTCACAAGGCCCTGGCTGCTGGTCCCCCATCAGGGCCCCGGAACGGGGAGGCCACAGTCATGTCACCTCCTAGGACCACTCCTGTATTATAAAGAGGTTCACAGCTGGTCCAGAGCATCGATTCCCTGTCTGACACCCAATAATGATACAGCGTTCCCCGTGTGACGCTCGAGTTCATGCACATCACGCCGAGACTCTGGGTGGGGGTGACCCCCCAGCTCAGAACCGCCCTCGGCTTGTGTCCTGGTGAGACGCTGACGTCACTGCTGCTGAGTGACTCCTGCGGCCAGGGAGGGAGGGGCCTGTCATGTGGTGCAAGTTTATCTCCTGTGACTTGTTATTTTTTATATCAAATTTCATGCATACATTACATTATCTGTTCAAACTTTTTATTTTTAATTAAAAAATTATTTATGCCCACAATACTAGGGTACAGGCAGGAGTTGTGGGGTGCGAGGACTCCCCAGGACAGAGCAGGGAGCAGACAGGCCATCAACTGAAGCTCACTGCTAAGGGGGCCGTGGGGACGGCGGTCTGCTGCGCCCGGGGGTCACTCCCGGCAGGGATCGGGCCCTTAGGGCTGGGACAGCCTCACTCTGCTGTGGCTAAACCCCTGGCGCCCCAGGTAGGCCCCTGGCTCAGCCATTTTATAGCAGATATTTGCTTTAATTCTTTCTTAACCTTAGATTTGTCCATGTTCTCAGAACAATCTTTCAATATCATATTGACACTCGGGGACCAATACTCTGTTCTGGCCTCTCTGCTCCCTGTGACAATCAGACCCTCCCCCAAGACTCAGGTCACTCATGTCATGTCCATGGCCTGTCCACCTCTTCCCCAAGCAGAGGCCTGGGGATGGAGCTGAGCCCCCACACAGAGCGCCTGGGGAGACCCCAGCTTGCTGGGTATAGGGGGAA